CTAAAGATCTGGCTGTCCCGGCTGGCCTGGGGTTAAGACTCTAACCCCACTCGAATTTGTGTGGCTGTTGTGTTTTTTTTAATATGTTGTATTGTCTGTATGTTGGAAATTGTTTGTCCTCCCCCCCCCCCCTTTTTTGAATTGTGAGCCGCCCTGAGTCCCCCCAGGGAAAAGGGCGGCATACAAATAAAGGGAAAATGAAAAAATGAAAATGAAATAAATTTTTACCCTGTCCACCTCCCCAATTAAGTTAATAATTTAAAAAGGCATACAAATAAATAAACCAGTTCCCCATGCCCCCCAAACTGGTTCACCCCCCAAACTGGCCACCAACTTGATTTTTGGTTCTGCGTATGCACAGAACAATTGCAATTGCACAAATTTATTTTTTTCTTTTTTTAACATTTTGCACACGTGCAGACCTATTTTTGTGCAAATGCGCATGCACACTTTTTTTGTGTGCATGCACCTAACCAGCAATAATGCCAGGTGCAACCCACCCCTGCAGTGATCACACAAAGTCACTTCATAATTAGCTCAACTAAAGTGATCAGAGCAATGCAGACAATAAGAAAAAGGATGCCCTATATAGCAACATCTTCTAGGCTTGGTCAACACATAGAACTGTAGCACCACAGGGCCAAACAGAACAAGTGAAGTAAAATTATCTGCTGTGCAGCACCTGATGACTAAAGAAAGACTGCCAAAATAGCTGCCACACCACTATCTGACAGCTGCTGTTTCTCTGAGTGGGCAACAATATCTTTAAGGACCTGCCACCTGCAAGTAGAGCTGCAGAACTGCAAATGCTGCAACAATGGTGATCAAACATGTCTGCCCAACATATGGCAGAACATTTCATGCCCGTATAGGCCTTACCAGCCACCTGTGGATGAGGGGTGGGTTTTGGCCCGTTTGCTTAGGGGTGTGCCGCTTACGCCTGCCTAGAACAACTAAACTTGTTCTGCGCATGTGCGGAAGCAAAAAAACAAGAGAACCAGTTCAGGGGCGTGGCAGGACTGGGTCGCTGCCGTTTCCAGTGACCCAGGCTGCCAACCTACTAGTGGTTCAGCTGAACCAGTCCAAATGGTAGGGACCCAGCACTGCACATTGTGGACAGCCCACTACCTGTTAGATGTCAAGGCCCTCTTCGAACACAATGGACGAACATCATCATCACCTGCAGGCAAGAAACGGAGCAAAGGCAGCTTTTCGTTCTGTCCCAAGTTGGATCTTCTGAGAATTCACAGCCAAATACCAGAAGGAACAGGGACGAAAAGATTCTTTAGCCCAGTTCTTCCCTGAAACATTTCTTACAAGTTCAATTAGTGCAATGCAGGAAAGCCTAAGACTTTAAACGGATGAAGAGGGCTATGTTCATATATGCATCTCTCAGACAGGGTCATTTATGAAAATTAGTGCATTAGTGCAGTTGGCACACTCATGCTTGAAATGTTTACGCAGTCTTTAAAGATGAATTAAGGAAAATAACAGAAAAAATTCTTGCCAACAATTTTCTGTTAACCTTTAGATTTGGCATGATTGTATTTTCAGAATGACAACTGTGGGTATTCAAGTCACTTGTCTTAACAGGACAAAAAAGATACTTGTTCCAAAATTAAGGGGACGCAACTAATTATCTTATTCAGTAGCATTTTTGTTCTGTACTACTGAACTTCCCAAATAAAACTATTTATTTAACTTAAATAAATAAAAGCATCACACTTGCTTTACTTTTTTGTAGTCTCTTTATTCTATAACACTAGCAACACAAATGATTTGTTTTAAAATATCCTTCTTTAAGAATTCCCCCTGAACAAAATATACACAAAATACATTTTGCAAAGTGGCTTAACAACGAACTGTTCCGAAACATACACACAAGAGAAATGATTCAGGTATGTTCCTCCCTCTCCCCTCCCCACATATACCAATAGAAGAAGAGGGTTTAGGGGAGTTATTTTTAAGAACACAAGGAAAGCTATGGCAGGATCCAGACATTTTGTCAACAGATATTCCTTATAGCTTTCATTGGCCACCATAAAACAAATCCAAAGAAAACGAATTGTGAGGACCTTTTGAGAATCTCAATACATCCGGCCTCATAGTTCTTTATAACCAATCTTTTTCCAAGTCTTGAAGTGCTTAGAGAATTGCATATCTTGGCCAAAGACTATGCACATCCAAGAATAAAGGTTAGCTGGAAAGGGGCCCCAAATGACTTGGTCCCCCCCTTCAGAGTAGTTTGGATGCCTGTCTTTTCATGTCTACCTCGTGATACAAGCCCAATTGTGTCAAGCATCACTATTTTTCTTCTTTTTTAACAAATTGGATCTTTGGTATAAGAGAGAAGATGCTCCTTTGGGAGGTTGCATTTCACTGTTTGGCATAGGATCTGTCTGGGGAAAGTAACAATTGCAGGACCTGGTTAATCAATAAATTGCTTGAAGACTGGAGTTTCTCTTTCATTTTGGTAGAGCAACTTTCCCGTTAGTTAAGGCAGAGCATTTTTTTTCCTCCAGAGCATTTTTATAGTACAAAACAAAACTTGCCAGCTGCCATCGCAAACATCTCTGCATATACATAACAGCATTGTGTGAAAGTTCCACCTCCTACACTTTCTGTCACTGCTGTCACGTTTGTTTTTCCTTACTTCTGCCTTCTGCAGCTGTTAGGAGGGGAATATTTAGAATATGGAAATCAGGGTCCAATATAAATTGCTTTTGCACTATGGACATAAATCAATAAAATTGATCCAGAGCAACTACATTCTGTGACTGCCCTCTGATTCCTTGAATGTGCAAATTCCATCTTAGATCCCATAACCACGACCCAATCTTTGCATAGTGAAATAGGGTGCAAGTTTCTGCCCTGAAGAATGTCCTTTCCCCTGCCCATTTCTCATTCTGAGACGTGTAGAGACCAAGTCACTGAGTGTATGACTGCCTGGTATGACTGATACGCCCCCGTACGGGCATACCAGTGCCTGCGGGGAGCACTGGGTACCGTTCTGGTATGGTGCTCCAGAGGACCACCTGCCCGCCCGTGCTCCTTACTGGTATTTCAGCTCTCCAGTGCTTCCGCACACGGAGCATATGGCGCCTGCATGACGCTCCGCCAAGCAGTTGGAGTGTTGTGGAGGCGTTGTGGAGCGTTGCAGAAGGTAAGGACGCATGTGCGTGCTGCGTGCATTCATGTGGTGGATGCCGGGCCCCGTTGCACTATACCAGTTGCATCGGGATCCGGAACCCACCACTGTTTTGCAGGCACTACTGGAAACGTGCAATTCCCTGACCCAGGAGGGCCTTGCAGGACATGCAAACATGAACTCTGGGCTCACAAGAGCTTGGTCATTTAGAAAATGGAAAGGGCAGATAGATTGGCCTACACATGAGGTCTAATGGCTCTCTCCACAAATGTGCACCCATGGCTCACTTGCACCACAGGCAAATGTGCCTCCTAGTTTTATGGCCTGTGTTTCCATAAAAAGTCTAGAGAGGTTGGAAACTATGAAAAATAAAACTTGCCCTTCCACTCAGTGATTTTCACTTAAATAGTGAATGAATTTCCTTGACATTATCTACCTGCCCTCAGAATGAGACACATTCTTCCTTTTCTGTCCAGTGAATGGTTTTTCTTTTAAGTTTGGCTGAACTTTCAACTTACATTTTAGAGTTACGTAATACTTACAGTCACCCTGAATAAATAAATAAATAATATTATGATCTTCAGCAGGAACTGTTGTATATCTATCGCTTGCCCTTGTGTTAATAGCAGCAACTGAAATGGTTTACAATCAATAGTCATTCTTGGTAGTGGCAGGAATGTGTAATACTTCCCTTCTTTGAAATAAATAATAATAAATTGTTGCCTGCTTTTGTAATAGTGGCCCTACAAGTTTGTTACATTTTGTTATTCCACTTTTTATGTACGAAATATTAGCACTTTGTCATTCCACGCACAGCATGTACAAGTAACCTACACCCAACAGCACAGAACTGAAAAGCAACACTTGAAATCGAAACATTTTTTTCAATATTCAGGAGAACAGATTAAACTTTTTTTGTGTATGGTGATTCTGTCTCTCTGCTCAAGTTACCATGTTCAACAGATACTTCAAAGTGACAAACTAGAGTACGTGTATAAGATCTCACAAACAATGTAGGTGTACACCATGTGAAAATGTTCCCCTAAAACAATCCCCTCTTCACAAAGAACCATAGAAACACAGCATTATTTAAATCTTAAAGAACAAATAGAAGAATCAAACAATCATCTCAGGGCATAGCACTGACAAATAATTCAATAATTCAGAATAGACAATCACTAGAGTTCAGCAGCAGCTGACACAACTTGTACATTCAAAGTCTTCTGTTGAATGAACGAGAAAGCGGGGAAGCAAAGGAAACTGGACTGTTTGCTGTTCAAGCAAGCTGCAAGGCTGATTAAGGCTCTTCCACTCAATCAGTTCGATGCCTGTGGTCGAAAATGAAGGCTAGCACAACAGGCAACGCTGCACTGCTCATAAGGTTGATCCCAACTGCACCCCAACAGAACACTTTGCTGGTGCCTCTAACACTTGCTGATACAACAGCTCATTTGGGCATATATCCAACAATGACTTAACAAAGAGAGAAGGCAGATGCAGGGTTTGATCACATTCATGTAAGACATGAGGAAAGTGTGTGGACTCACATACTACGTATCATTTTTCTAGCAGTGAAACATGACCACCAGTTGTTCAGTTTTAGCAGTAGTTCAAAGGTGAGCTTCCCTTTATTGGTGTAGCTGGGATTCATTCTTCACCAGCTGCCTATAGGCACTTTCACACCAGTGTCCTGAATTCCTCTGGCATCAGCTCCAGACCAGACTGATCCAAAGAAGCTTAATCACTATCTCTGCACATCTTGTGGGTCATTGGTTTTCTCACTGATAAAAATCTCACGCCTCCCTTGCCATCTGCCCCTGAACTCCTCTGCCACCACCCAGTGCATCTTGATCCATAGGTTTCCAATATTTAGAACTTATCTTCCTTCACCAAACATGATCATTAAGCCCTGGTCACAGATATAAGGAAAAATAGCTGATGGAAAAATGGTCCGCAATAAGAAGTGATTTCACATGTACTTACATACTTGTGTCTGAACGTATGAAAGGGTTGATGTTGAATTGACTGAGAAAGCACCAGAGGCTATTAGTGCTTTGTTTGCATTTTCCCAATCAACCTCACCTCGTATAGCTTCCCATCAGAGCAACTTCTCAGGGGGATTTGGAGTTTATATTTCTGTAATGATCATTATAGAGAAATTGGATAGGTGGGTGGAGTTCTAGTCATTCTGCTATTTGGCCAACTATAGGGACGGAAAACACCGTCACATTCTCCGAGCCTTCTATATGTTTGGAGATCCAGAGTTAAACAATTGTGGTCAATTTCAGTGTGAGAAGTTGTCGGGGTGGAAATGCTATTGTGAAGGCAAGATGAGGTGACAGCTGCCTTTCCCAAATTCCCTTACTGGAATTAACACCTAATTGGCTGCTCTTCTCTTCCATTCACAACCATACCAGCCAGCTACCTCCATTACTTCAGCGTCCTACAAACTAGATACTAATTTTTCTCTGTTTTTCGTCTCAAGAACTGCCTTTTATATAATGGCCACATTATATAAACTTGTATATTTTCCCTTACTTCTGTATCCTTTTCTCAATTGTAACTAGCCTATTAAATTATACACTAATATTTAAAGTTACGTTTTACTCTCTGCAAGAAAACGCAGAGAAAACATTTATACATTTTATATAAAATAGATGTGGTGGCTCAATCTGTCCCATAATTAACATAGCGTTTCTTACATATCTTTATTTTCAGCTATGGATGTCACCCAGCTTGGCTTAAGAAAAGAATGATGAGTGAGTGATATTTCTGCTTGGCCATAAAACTACAAAGGTCACCAAATATCTCTGAGAACAATCTATTTTACAGATTTGTGGTAAGTGTATAAATTTGATAACTCTACATATTCTAGTCATGTGCCTAATTTTCAGATTCTTTTGTCCTGACAGAGAAGCCAGGCAATACAAATGGAAAGCCTGAAAACAGAAAACTTGGGACACACTTCACAGCCCATTTGTTAACACCCAGTGAAGGGATAAGTAAAGATATAGAACCAGAAAACCTTACTAGCACTTGCAACTTACACAACAGAGAAAATACATTTTTGGTCTTGGGTTTGCACCAAAATGAGAAAAATGACTTCAGCTTATTTCTCAAATCAGCATTGGACATAATAATTTTTGGACAGACACCCTTATAGCAATATGAAATAATTCATAGCGCCTATGCGGTACTTCCAAGATGGTTAAGTATTTCTGTCTGAAAACCTGTTACAATCACATTGAAATAGTGACTTCCTAAGTCTGGAGGCCTAGTTTTCATTGCCAAGATGTTTTATAAAGATTAGAATAAATGGGCTCCTCTGTTCATTGGTAGAACTATTGTTTTAAATTCAGATGGCTTAAGGATCAGATGCCTCATATAAGACGTAACACAAATCTGTACCAAAGACATCTCAGCAATCTTTACATTCTCAATGGTCAATCTTGGCAAAGCCTATTACATGACTGCGTCCATTCCACGCTGTTTTCCTTGCTCCACAAACTGCTTTTTTTCCCTTTTGAGATGCAGTATCAAACATATTGAGACTGTCAGCCTGTTTGAATATCAGCCTGTCTGAATACCCATTTCAAATTTAATAGAAAGGCTCTTGTTATTATATTACATTATCTGGTGTCATGAGTATGACTACACTGTGCTCTTAAGATTTAACAGCATGGAACAGATCTTGCTAGTTATTACTGACAAGCAAATGGGCAGATGTACATCCTTCTACCATTTTTTTTTAATAGACAAAGATTTCAACAAATGCACTTTATTTCTGTTCCTCGAAGTATCTTAGATTCAGTCTCTCTTTGATAAGGCAACTAAAGTCTTCTACACAATGATGTCATAAACCCTTCCCACTCGTCCCAGCCATTCTCTCAGAGCCTGACGAACCCGGATGTCTGTCACATGGCAAGTCAATTGACTGATGCAGGGAAATACCGCTGGTTGTAGAGCGATGAAGATCTGGTCTGGTAGGGATTGAATCTGATTAAGAACTGTCAGAACCATGTTGGTCCATGCCTAAACAATGCAAAGACAAAGTTGGGGGGGGGGGAGAGGAAAAGAAAGGGAACAAGTAAATATATAAATTAGGACAGTGCAAAAGACAAATGGAAGCACATAGAACAGTAGGGAAATTAGGAAGGACACCTTTAGAAGAAATGCAGTATCGGTGTTAAGTAAGAACATAAGGCAGTTCAGTATGAAAAGGTGTTTTTACTTTTGCCAAGAAGCTGCATGTATGCACTTTATCTGTAGGTGAATATCTTCATGAATATAACACCACCTGAACATTTTGCTAAAAATACCATATGCTTAAGACTCGTTGTGTAGTCACAAGCATCTCATATTTTGTATAATCGTAGGTCTCTGTTTAAAAACTGATTAGGAAACCAAGTGCCCTAATATGAAAGGCAAAAAATAGGTCTCCCGAATTTAAAGTTTCTCCCCTTTATTTCCACTCTTCTTCTCTTTTCTTACCTGTATTTGTGCCTCCCCATCCCGGACCGATATGCTGAATGAGCTGGCAGTAGACCCGGAGCGTGGCCTCTTTTCTTGCCTCAGAATCTCTGGCCCGGCGCTAAACGAGTGTCTCATCTGGCCTTGATCGATCAGATTTTGTGGCCGATGGTGGAGAGGTGAATCTGGCCCTCTTGTGCCGAGCGGATCCCCTTTCTTGTCAGCTTTCATCTCTTTGGAGAAATTAGCTAAATTATGTTGCTGTTGTTTTCTTTTTTTATACTCCGTCATTAGTTTTGATATGGTTTTGTCTGTTGCTATGCTGTAAATTTTGTTGCTAGCGCTCTCCCACCATTCTTTTTTCCTGCCTTGTTCTTTCTTCTCCATTTTGGGGCTCAAAGGTGGAAGAAGCATCATATCTGTACTTCCCTTAGGAGTGAGGTTTTCAGTGAGGAAATCCCTACTCTGGCTTCTATCATCTTCTGAAGGGGTGTTTTTTCCAGAAAGGGCTCCAGTAGATGATACGGGTGTTTCTGATTGAAAGGCTGGAAGGATTAAGATGGGGTCGCCCCTGAAGACAGGGAGCTCATCGACACTATTTTCCAAATCCAAATGCATCTGAATGTAGTTATTACATAACTCCATGCAGAGTTTGTGAAGCCTTTTGATTAGCCAAGCCCAGTCTGCATTGCTCACGGGTTGGACACTCAGCGATGGCAACCTGGCCCTCCACTGCCTCTTCTCTTTCCCCCTTGGTGGGCTGACTTGAGCAGTCTCTTCAAAAATGTCTTCGTCTTCTGAAGAGCATTGTTGGGATGAATCTGTGCTCCTTTCATCATCTTCAAAAAGGATTTTCTTCACCTGTTCCGCAGTGATGTTTTCCTGATTGGTCACAATAGCACAGATCAAGGCATGGAAGTAGATATTGAAGCTCATAGCCGACTGGCGGTACAAGTTGGCGGCCCCACCAATGCCAGATACCTTTTTGAGCAAGCACTTCAGCCCAGTCCTTGTATCAAACTCTCTGGCTGTTCGGTAGGAGTCCAATAGTAAATCAAAGATGACAGCCAAGTTCTGCATAGAAATGTACCTGAGGAAACCAGTGAGTTTGGTTTCTGGCAATTGGTGTGTTACCTTCTCTTCAGTGTGTGAGGGCCCTTTCACAAATTCTTCCAACAAAATATCATATAAATTCTGCAGCAGGACTTGATGGGAAAGCAGGCTCACTACAATTGTTCTGAAAGGGATACTTTGTGTAGCAGAAAAAGAAAGAGAGAGAATTTAGAACCTCATGAATGTTTCGTGAATTGCTCAATTATATTAGTCTCTTTCTCCAAGAAACTTCCGGTGATAAGCTAACAACCACCTCTTAATCATTATATTTTTTTTGGTAAACATTATCACTAACTAATGCTGCTTATCATCTGCAACTTGTTCTTGCAATGAACTTTGTTCATTGCTGTTGTGTTACAGTGCTTTCATTATGTTTTGACACTCTCTGGTGGTGGATTATTGGCATTGGTTTTTTGGCACCAAAGAATGTTGTAGTTTTCTGAGGAATGCTAGATAAAAGACTAGCCAAAATGCACATTTCATTTTGGAAGTAAAAGTGACAGGAGTATTTTCTCTTGTGGCATGTGTGCAAGTTTAACAGTGAGGTATCAGAATGTGCCAGAAATTGTGCATGGAGGGAAGTTGTTGTCCTTGGTAACATATTCACTACTACCATAGCAAAGTAGCAAATATCTTACCATGACATATTTGAGCACCACAGTGTGGCAAAAGGGATGGGTGGAATATACACAGGAACTTTCAAGGGTTTCATTTTAAACATGCATTTTATAAATGCATCTGACAGAGGTTGCAATTCACCCAAGAGCTAAAATTGTAACTGTATTGGCCTTCTTCCTCGCTGAAATTAGCCTTTAAAAGATAGGAAAGCTTCTCCCTTTTAAACTAGATAGTTAGGGAATAGCAGTTCATTTTAAATAGCTGTTTCAATTTCTTCAATAGCTAAGGGGATACTTTTTGTGGATAAATATCTGTATCTCAAATGCCATTTAAGAAAATACATGATTTGGATGTTGGCTTGAAATTGCATTGAAGGAAAGAAACTCTGTCTTACCCAAGTTTCCTGTGTATTGGTTGCAGCATTATAAAGGAAATCAGACAGAAAAAAGAGAAACTCGACTAAGTGAAAACAAAACTGCAACACACTTCTAGATTGACATGCAAGAGAATATAAAATAAGCAAGCAGCAAACCCACTGTTGTAGCAAGTCTTGTAAAGAGGGACATTTGTATCCCTGCTAAATAAAATTTAAGGATTGAGATACCAATCAGAATAGGTCGAGAAATGGGACGGCATGAATGTCATAAATCTGGATTTAGGGGCTGTTGGCTTTCTGCAAAACTTTTTGGAAAAAAAGTTTCATTGTATTGTACACATTTTCCCCTTTCCCTCTCACATACTTCGGCTAACTCAGCCTTAAAGGTGCAAATCTATGATTTGCTGTGAGGGTCTGCATCTTAAGCATGCACTAATGGTGCCATGGATATTTGATGAGGTTCAACCCCACACTCTTATTCTGAGGCAAGACCGCATGTAATGCTGGACTTCTCAAACTGTAAGTCAGCACTACTTTGGGGTCATGAGCAACTCAGAAAGAGAATCACCATTTTAAAAAAAATCTTGCACTATCAACATTTGTTGCAGTCTATGTTCCTTATTCTATTGCAAAGCTTGAACATGCCAAGATGTACAGAGTAAAATTTAAAGATAAAAAGCTATATTTATTTCTTTTTCAACCCCATTTTACACATATGTATTTATTATTTAAGGGACACAGAGCAGAGTTTGGAAACGTCTGCTCTATTGAATTACCCATTCCAACTATCTTTTATTTTCCATGGTAAGGCAACTAATTCCAAATAAAAATATGAGTATAAAGTGTCTTTCTTCTGTCTCATTTTGCTTGTTGCTTAATCTTAGAAATCTGTTTCTTACCTTTTCTGTGAGTGGCCATTGGACTTCCTATCAGGAGGCAGCTCAATAATAAGCAGACAGGATTGAGCATGCTCAAATCCTTCCTTGTTATTGGGTGTCTTTGGGGAGCATTGGGTGTCCAACATGAAAACCTGTAGGGGGAAAATCATACCAATGTGCTATTGCTTTATTGATATTCAGGAACCACAGGCAAGTCAGCACCAGAGCAAGCAATTTGGAATTAAAATGAGACAATCTGAGTCATGCCCTATTCACTTAATACATCTCATGTAGAGGACTTCAGCAAGACTAGAGGAACTATCATGTGGATTATTCCCCAAGCAATTTTTTTGTGGGCTCAATGGCTTCACTTAGCTCAAGGCAGTGCCTTCTCAATCTGCACTGCAAATGGAGTTGTTCAATGGGCAAAATCAGCCCAGCAGAATAACTGATATTTCCTCCCAAAACACTCAATGAATTACATTTTTTTCATTTCAAAATGTTTCTTGTTCTTGCCTACCTAAACTTATTCAACTCAGTGAAGACATCAATATCCAGGGAACATTCCTTGAAATTGGAAGGGTGAAACTTTAAACATAAACAGATAAATAAAATGGGGCATTGGTTCTTACCTGATACGCCCCTTCTCTGGGCAGGTGGAGACAGCGGTCATGCACGGGTTAACTCAGTCAGTAACCAATAGAACTGAGTCTACCAAAGTGATGTCATCACCTGAGGAGCATGCTCCCCGCTTTTCTAGACTCAGTTCGATAGGAACTGGCTGTGCTAATTGCTTCTCCTCAACTATTTCTTAA